CATAAAGTAGACGAGTTATGACTGCACAAAACACAAGTGGAGAAAACACTTAACAAATGCGGTCCTAAAATAAAACTAATGTTAGCATGTACTCAAATAGACACCCTCAGTAAAGTGTATCCTCTGCGTAGGTCTAACGATAATTATAGACTACCAAATTGTACCTTCTACCTCATTGTCAAATCACATATAAGGCTCTGATTTTATTTAAGAATAAAATTTAGTTTGAATTTACAACTCAACTCGCAAATGTCTAGACTTTTCTTTTAAGGTCTTAACAGTGGAACACGATCATTTTTTTGCCGGAGGTCTTCTGAGAAATTCGCAAAACCAACTGCCGAACACGAATCATTCTCCATCATGACAAAGCGAGCTCTCACACATCACATTTATAACCTCCACTGGCGCTATGTCAGAAGGGCGGGCCTCCACACGGCGGGCCATCCGAGGGGTCGACGTTGCTGTTCCACTGGTCTCAGGGCTAATGCTTGAGACTACTTCTGAGCAGTAGTCATTTATGCGCTCTATTTCAGTTTACACCTGGGAAATATCTATGGAGAGTGCCGAACTCTGCCCAGAGTGGTTGTTGAATGAATCGGAAGCATCCGGGCTAGATTGACTATCATCGATGCTCACAGCATATCCCACACTACCGTCCATAACGGAATGCTCCGAGGTATCGCCAGTAGTGTGACTGCTTGACGCAGAGCGAGAGAACCAGCTTGTTGAGGTGGAGTTAGAGCTGATGCTGATGCTGGTGGTGTTGGTGCTGCTCCTTGAACTGGAACTGAAGCTTGACAAGGAGCTCTCGCTACTTGTATAAGTGGTCCCGTTCAAGGTGGAGCTTATTTCGATTGGGCCGGATCCAGTAACTCTGAAGGTTTCTGATGATATGTCAATTGTTAACGAACCATTTGAGAAATTCGAAAAAGAGCGTGAAAAGTTGGCCATGGCTCAGAACAGGTGAATTCACGCTTCAGGAAGAACAAGCTCCTTTCAGCACGAGAATAAGTCTGAATGAATTGAGCTTGTTAATTTCTGCAATTCGCATTTATAAAATTTATGCGGCGCCACTGGCTTGATAGCTGTAAAGCACTGACTTCTGACTTGGAGCCCCATGCGTGGTCAACGATTTACGAGCGCCGAAGAAGCAGTTGAAAAGTTCAAAAACCATGTTTAGAAGGTGTCTTAAAAGGAATTCAAAAACTGCTATGAGCAATGGTTCAATGCAAAAGTGTATTGATCATGAGGGGGAATATATTGAAAAACAATAAAACCAATTTAATTTTAAAATTGTTGTTTCTATTTCCTAATCCCGAAATATAAATATTCCCTCGTATTACACATTTGACGCTATGGTGCATCGAATCGTATAAAGAATCACGTCAAAGAATCACCGACAGAGCGTGCTTCTTCGCTCTCACCAACTGATTCCATAATGGGCACAATTTCACTGCGAATAATTTCTTCATACTTTTTATTCATTTACCATACCCTTAATCAATATTAGCGATTCAGTTTTATATTTAGATATGTATCCCTACATCATAGTATAAGGCGAATGTTAAGGCAATGCAGGAATTTTCGGAATAGCGTTCTCCTCTTCTGCAGCGAACTGCGCGGTAACCATCCGGTCCAATTGGATTAAATTTAACACATCCAAAAATATAGCTCGTGACTACTACGATTAACCCCAATTTAATTTTTCTTTAGACCAATTTAAGCGAGGTTTCTTCATTTGACTATGCAGAAGTGGCTTTTTGCCAGGTATCCTTATTATTACAGACAACTAGTTTGGCCGACGTTGATTTTTTTGAGCGGAAATATCTTTTGCAAAACGTTGCTGCAGCTCTGATGCTATCTCAACATAATTTTTAAATCCTGAGGCTCATTTAATAATAAGACGATTTTTTATACAACTTGGCTAAGTCTGGTACAACAAAATATTAATGAATTACCTATTTTAAAACAACCTCTGAATTATATTGAATTTTTTATAAGTTAACAGGAACAAAATTAACTTATTACACAAAATTTAGTTTTGGTTGTAAAAAGTTGTTTTTCTATTTAAATTTTAATTTTCTTCCTTTCAAAATTACCGAAAAGCGTAACAAACGTGTGTAAAAATAATTTGTTTCTAAGTATATGACTATGTAATTAGTATATATTTTTGTTTAAAATCTATGTATTTAGATACGATGGCGTATCATTAGGTACCTGTTTTCCCCATGACAAAAAACTTTTTAATACGGCAACAGTCGTTTAGTAGTACTGTTAACGTAGAATCAGAGTTGCCGAAAAATATCGAGTTATTCTTTCATTTTTTTTTGTATTAATTTTTTATTTTACCTAAGTCCGTTACCGCCGAGCCAGTTTTAAAAACAGCTAATAGACTCAGTGGTTCTAGTCTGGATGATGTGGTTGATATGGTAGCATAATGCCAATGAAATATGAAACATGGAAAATAAATTTGTTTTTTACAAACAAGTAGATTTTTGAATTAAAACACAATCGAAGTTGTAACGAGGGGGAACGTTGTGAGTTGCTGCGGAGACCGCAACTCTACATTTATACCCGATACTAAGTCAGTATGGCTCTCATCCGGCAGACGCCACTAATATTAAGCGACACGATAAAGAGTGCGTGCGAGAGAGACAGAAAATCAATCTGAGCGTGACGTCGGGCGCAGCGTAGCCACTGAAAATTGATTTGTTCCTTTTGGCTATAAAAATGATCCGATCTGATCCAGATTCAACAATCTGATAGATATGGTCATTATCTATAATTCTGCGTTTTTAGTTTTCTCGAATGTGCAATATTGTGGATGCAACAGATTTTCGTCCTTTGTGGGGGCGGATGGGGGTGTGGCGAAATTTTAAGATATACCTTTTATAGTGAGATCTAACAGGAGTGCGGATACCAAATTTAGTTACTCTAGACTTAATAGTCTCTGAGATTTGTGGTTGCCCCAGATTTTTGTCCTTTGCGGGGGCGGGAGGGGGTGCGGCGAAATTTTGACACAAAACGGTCAAGGTCCGATATCACAGGAGTGGGGATACCAAAAATTGGTTGCTCTAGCTCTTATGGGTTCTGAGATCCTCATATTTTGCAATTGGCAAAACCGACCATGAAACCTGTGTGTTTGAGAGACAGAGCGAGAAAGAGTGAAATTGTTTTCGTGATTCTGGCTATAATAATTATACGATCTAGCTCAGATTTTGCACTCTGGAAGATATAGTCATCTTCTACGATTCTGCGTTTTCTCAGTTTTTTTTTAGTTTTCTCGTATCGTCGAAATTGTGGATGCCACAGATTTTCGCCCTTTGTGGGGGCGGAAGTGGGCGGGGTTAAGTTTTGAAATATTTTTGTAGCAATGACATATCACAGAAGTCTGGATCCAAAACATCGTTGCTCTAGCTCTTATAGTCTTTGAGCATTAGGCGCTGAAGGGGACGGACAGACGGACGGACGGACAGACAGACAGGGCTCAATCGACTCGGCTATTGATGCTGATCAAGAATATATATACTTTATGGGGTCGGAAACGATTCCTTCTGGATTCCCGTTGCCACTCACGTGCACGATTGCAGTTTAGTGTTGGGATATGAACCACAGCTGCCGCAGCTGTCTCTCCAACGCTTTCTCTGGCTTCTGGTGCGATGGCACTATTTTCGATCATCTTGTCAGCAATCTTTGCCAGCTTGTCCAGATCGTTCTCCTCCCAAACCGAAATGAGCGGACCAATCGACGAAGGCAACTCGGTGAGGATGAGGTTTCGTATGACGGCTTCGCATCCACTAACTTCTTCAAAGTCATGTCTCCACCCCGTAGAAACCGTCTTATTTTCGAACTTGTTGTCAGACGGTGGCGAGTAATGAGATCTTCGGTTGCTTGAACTAAAGTTGCGGATCGTTTTTATTGATTTTTGGAATGATGATGTGAGCTAAATGTTGAGAGTTAACTCATTTAGTGTGGCCTCCGTGTTCGCCATACTTGTTGCGTCGTAAAATTTGTCGCCGTCTTCCGGTTTGTCTTTGATCGAGGAACGCAAAAAATAGCTCTGTTGCATTTGCGGTTGTTTTCTAACGTAGGGGTCACCACTTTGGCCGGTTGGCCAATATGTGCATGAATTCTTATTGATGTTCTTAATTAATAGAAGTCTTAGATCAAGATGCCAGACCGCTTGTCAAAGTCGCCACACCGGCGAACGACTCTTAGATCAGTGTTGATAAGGGGCTGAGATCCGTGCTGGCACATGTCGTTCAATGTTAGCGCCCTGTGGCAAAAGGGGAGCTATACTGACTAAGTATCGGGTATATCGTTCTTAATTATATCTGGTTCTCTTAAATCAACTTTTCAATAGTCTCTTCTTCTTCCTCTTTTTGTAAAGCCGAAAAATACTTAACTGGCAGCCGGCCGTCGTTTAGAAGTTAACTCTCGTATGAGCCGTTGAGAAAAGCATTTTTCGTTATATTTAATTTTCATCGTTATATTTTTTTTTGTATTTTATTTATTAAATTAACAAAATATCTGTTAATAACGGTACTTAGTTACTAAAGGCGGAAAAAAGAGAAGTTAAAAGTTAGCTAAATTTAAGTTATTATAAATATTGCATGCAATTAGTTTAAGAGACAGTTCAGGGGATAGGGTTTGGCAGACCGCATGTGAAAAAATTACAAAAAAACTTGACTACTTACTAGCTCAGGCGGAAACTTATGGATGCGGATTGTAATACATATATGGTATTATATGATAATCTCAGCCACGCCCCCAATCATCAAACACGGGTAATTAATAATCCACCCTCGTATATATGTATTACTACATAGACACCCACAATGTTAAGTTTTTGTAGTTGTTGTTTGTAGTTTTTTTTTTTTGTATTTGATTGCTTTTTGAGCGAATTGAGTGGTCTGCACTGACCAAACACTTCAATAGTACTAGCAGGTCCGTTTTAGCATCTCTTGGGATGGACTGATTAACTAGTTGACGTAATCGTTGTTTTGTTATGATGTTTGATGTTTTGTTATAGTTATCAAAGGACCTATAATTAAAAAAATGAGTTTGCATATTTACTTACTTCTGGGTTAAAAGATGGACGAAAGTGTTTATGCAGCTCAATTATTATTCGAAGGCTTACAAGAACATTTTCTTCATTGTCAGTTTTTAATATTTTGAGCATCATTGTTATAATTGATTTGACATGTTGTCTTAAATTTTCTGTTATGGGCAGTCGATGAATCATCTCCAAAATAAGTTTACGGATCTAAAATAAATTTTAAAAATCACATTAATTATAAATAATTATATATACATAATAATATTACAAGAATTGAAGGTTAGTTGCGGGGGCCGAAATGGTCGAAAAAATTACCAGAACTTTTTGTTTTTCGTTGCCGAAAGTAAATATCTTGTATTTATTCATGTATCTTTTTTACAAAGTTTATAGTATATAAAATACAATTTTTCAAATATGCGAAAGTCTCAGGGTCTAAGCATGTTCCTTTGGAACTTTACTATATATAGATCTGATCGGATTTAGAATGCTACAAAATATTCCCGCCACGAAAATTTCAGCTCATAACACTCCACTTTTATATTAAACTAGAGGGCCCTGCCACGTTTCTCTGTGGCGCACATTGTGGTTGTACGAATAAGAAAAGAAGATAAATAAATTGATTTGTTCATCGATGGAGAATAATATGCCGCACTTGAATCTGATTTACGATTATGACAATTTCCTCTTCGCCTACTACGGATGAGATAAAAAATAAAAAGATCAATTTTTTTCTCGATCGCAGGTGTGTTTTCCAAAAATGTTGGGGGTAAGTTGTCTTTTATGAGTGGCTCCACCATCACGCTCTCGCCCGGGACTTCAACTTAGAGCAGTGGTCCCTCGGAAAGCAATATTTGTTTCCTGTCTTATTCCTGAGACTCCAAAAAGGACATCTTTCCTCTAAACTTAACGCTTCGTCTGATGATATAATTGTGACTAAATTTAGATTTAAACATAAGCACAACATTTTTTGATCAAATTGAGTCAAATTCATATAAATATTGCGTATTTTGATTTCGACACCATCGCTTTTACTTCTATCAATGATCGTGCAATTTTCATTGACAATTACACTATTTAAAGAATGGACTGCCCATCTTTCGCTGGTGGGATTGCAGTATAATCTGATTTCTCATCTGAGTTTTCCCCATTCAATAACATCCATAGAGTAGAATTTGTTGCAGTTTCGTATTGTGTCGACATTTTTCTATTTAACCTGCTCCTACATTCCTCCCATTTCTTATGCTGAGGTCCAGAGCAAGCCCAATATCATTTCCTGAAGATCCTTACCATCCAACTCTGTCTGGTTGTACCCGATCTGGTTGTGCTGACAGTTCCATGGTTCCTTGCCGCATAAAGTGTTCTTAAAAAACAAACTTTATTGATTTAGATCTACATCTCTCGCTTGTTGATTGGTTCTTTATTCATTACCGAACATAGACGTAACTGTCAACTCGTTTTATAACTCAATATACTCACTGTACCCGTATCGTCCAAGCCTCCCTGGTTCTCCAAGTATTTGTCATACTTAAAAAACAATAAATCCAAAGTGTCACAACAATATTTTGCGTTATTATGACACAATTCGAAATGTCAGCGTCGAGGAATAATTGGACGTGCCCTAGAGCGTCGATATGAAAGGGGCTACATGCAGTAAGTTCATCGCCAGTAGCTGAAGGGCAAGCTACATAGTCTTTTCAAGAGTTCGCGCAGACATAGAGGGACTCTCACGCTTGTCTTACAATGAAACACCAACCGAATTTCTAGAGAGATACAATATTAATGGTATTATATAGACGGTATTAGGCATATAGACAAACGCCGCGCAACGGTTCTGATGCAGAGAAGGACGTTCGAGGAAATAAATCTTTCGAAAATAAAGCCTACCTAAATAATAGGAAACAGCTCTCTCTGTTTCTCAATCTAAAATACGAACGTTACAATATATATCTTTTTAAACAAGTCGACCTGTTTTTTGTAGCCTTGCATTGTGTTATTTGAAAAAATAAGATAAATACCTGGTATTCATTTTATAAGTATATATGTATCTTTTATATAGATACATACATAAATATAGATGGAATATCTATCATACGTACAAATTGTAACAAAATTCAATTTATATATGTAAATATACAAATCATTTATCCCCATGGTTGCCTTCAAATCTTAATTCATCTAAATCTTGCTTATATTCACTTATCCCTGTCATTTAGTTGCATATAAAACAGCCATTTAAGATATTCAGCCAGGTTCCGTTTTCACATTCACAAACGTTCTCCGATTTACTTTTGAATACACATAAATTGGGGCTCCCGTTTTCACATTCCGCAAGATTTATTCATTTTCAAAACGAAAACATTTTCGTTGACCAAATGAAAAGTAAACGGCATTTTATACAAAGAAACGAACCTTATTTGCAAAAGGAACGAGGGGAACGTTGTGAGTTGCTGCGGAGACCCAAACTCTACATTTATACCCGATACTTAGTCAGTATGGCTCTCCTCCGGCAGACTCCGATAAAGAGTGCCTACGAGAGAGACAGAAAATCAGTCTGAGCGTGACCTCGGGCGAAATTTTGAGATATACGTTTTATAGTGAGATCTAAAAGGAGTGGGGTTGGTTACTCTAGCCTTAATAGTCTCTGAGATTTGTGGATGCCTCAGATTTTCGTCCTTTGCGGGGGGGGAAGGGGTGTGTCGAAATTTCGACACAAAACGGTCAAGGTCCGATATCACAGGAGTGTAGATACCAAATTTGGTTGCTCTGGCTCTTATTGGTTCTAAGATCCTTGAACTCATATTTGGCAATTAGCAAAACCGACCATGAAACCTGTGTGTTAGAGAGAGACAGAGCGAGAAAGAATGAAATTGTTTTCTTGATTCTGGCTGTAATAATTATACGATCTGGTTCAGATTTTGCACACTAGAAGATATAGTCATCTTGTACGAAACTTCTTTAGTTTTCTCGTATCTTTGAATTTGTGGATGCAACAGATTTTCCCCCTTTGTGGGGGCGGAAGTGGGCGGGGCAAAGTTTTGAAATATACTTGTAGCAGTGACATATCACAGAAGTCCGGATCGTTGCTCTAGCTCTTATAGTCTTTGAGCACTAGGCGCTGATAGGGACGGACAGACGGACGGACGGACAGACAGACAGGGCTCAATCGACTCGGCTATTGATGCTGATCAAGAATATATGTATATACTTTATGGGGTCGGAAACGATTCCTTCTGGACGTTACACAAATCCATTTTCACCACAAATCTAATATACCCCAATACTCATTTTGAGTATCGGGTAAAAAATTAGATGACTTATTGATGCATTAACATAAACTTGACACCTACATATATCAGGGTAATTTAACTTTTGCTTTCTTTATAAATCATTTTACTTTAACCCAACCTCAAATTTGGCTACAAAAATCCAAAATCATTCACTACATATAACCTCATAAACTATAATACCTGTACATATACATATACACAACTAGTATACTAGATAATAATTCCTTTACAACATATAATATCGTATAAAACCAACCCTGTACATATGTACATACATACTCAAGTGTATAATTATACCTTAGCGAGCTTAAGGCCTCAGTAGCTATAGCCCCATACTTGTTAATACCTAGTTTTAGCTATTTATTAGCTTTATATAATAATAATAAAAACTTTTGCTTTCTTTATAAATCATTTTACTTTAACCCAACCTCAAATTTGGCTCCGAAAAATGGGCCAGGGCAACAATAATTTTCGTTTTGGTGCAAACAGCAAAAATATGTGAAAACTGGAGATCCTTAAAACGAAACATTTTAGCTGAAAACGTAATCCGCAAAAGTAAATGAAAAACGGAGCCTGCTTGATTATAAATATAAAAATTTGGCAGCAGACTCTTTTGATGACCAATTATAGCATTCCATATAGGTATGTACAGTCCTTGACTTAGGTGTTTGCACAACTATAATATTTGAGTTTACTGCTGTTTTAGAGCTTTTTCATGGCTATTTTCAAAAGAAAAATAATTTTATTCGATAAATAAATACATTTCCTGTAAAATTGACTTTTATGTTTTAAGTTTTCTAAACTGAAAAAATTATAAAATAAGACGTATAAGACTTAGGACTTGTTCTTGTAATTTGCCATAAGGTCATTTTTTTTACAGGCATTAACCCTTAATTCTAGTTCTGTGGAACTGTACAATATTCAATACCGAAATCGTCAAAACGATGAAATTTAGAAAACTGAGAGGTAAGAAAAAATAAACCAAAGAATCTCGGCTCAAAAGATTTCAAAAAGAAACTATAAAGGTCGAAACACACAGGCTGCCTAATGCAGGGCACGCCCTCCGTACCGTAATGGAATGAACCTTGCCCTCGACTTGCTAAATCTTAACAGCACTCTCTATCTAGGATAAGAAAGTACTCGGAAGAACAAACGTGCGTTTTTCCGTGGAACCTACATCAGCTGCTGCTCCAAGCATATGGAGCTTTCCAATATCTGAGAACTGTCAACAGGCCCATTATCCATTTGAAACCTGATCATCATTAAACTCCAAAATCACTCAATTTTGGCGAAGGAAGGCCAGGAAAAAAAGGCAAGCGAAATTTCATTTAATACCGAGCGAAAACAAAGAAAAACAAAAAAAAACAGCTAAAAAGAGGTGATACGAGACAGCTGTTTGCGATCGATAAGATCAGCCAAAGCGATAAGCCAAAGCTCGTCTTCATTTCCGCGAAAGGGGGCTCACCATCAGTGCACCCACAATTACAGAGCTTAAATGCAGGGATCAATACTTGATCCGTTATTGTTCTGCATTCATGTAAATGACCTGCCAATAGTATTGTCTGACTCTAATGTGAACATGTACGTCGATGCTCGTGTACGTCCAATTATATGTTAGTCGATCGTTAAATACAATAGATGAGAGCAATATAGGACTTGAGAAAATCAGTGCATGGGCAACCCACAATCACCTATGCCTAAATCCAACCAAGTCAAAATGTTTGATTACACATAAAAAAGTGTCGCGCGGCAGACCAGAGTATCACATCACATCCCCATATATTTTGGTAGGTCCTTTCGTGGTAGGTGCAGTAGGTAGTGGCTAAGTTTCTCATTGCGTTCCTTGCACATTATTTTCGAGGTTCTCCAGGTGGTGGTACTCCTCCACCTGCTTTCGGTTTGTGATCTGGCCTGCTTCTA